GCTCCATACAGGGTCAGGGAGGAGACAGTGGACCAGAGGCCAGCAAGAATGATCATGCAGGGTCTTCACAGGTGAGGAGAGATTATAACTGGCTAAATAAAATACCTAGAGTATAAAAGTGACTTTGAGGTTAATTTCCACAGCTATGTCACCACTACTATTCTTAATTCTATTTATGAATTTTGCTTTGCACACTTATTATCTATATTATTCAGGGTTTCCTTTTTGAAACTGTGGGGGAGGGCTTGAAGGGGAGGGCTCCGGCGATGACGGGGGGCTCTGCCTCTCCACTTTTCTCTCCTCCACTACTTCTGCCTGTGTACTTGTCTAATATAATTGGGAATGAGTGTTAGATACTTTCACATCACCAATATCACGCAGGTAACGTTAGGATAATTTAAATATTACACTTGTCATGGAACACATCAGTATCATTTCTATTCCTCAGAACTTGAGGGAACAGGGTTACGATAAATCAAGAACATTGAGCCTCTCCTTTATCTAACATTACTCTTCCTCGGGAACCTTCCTCTTCTTTTGAAAATACTTTAATATACTCATCTGAAAATGCAACCAGAAATGAGAGATACCGAGCAACTATAGGCAATTAGAAAATGCACTGGAGCTGTGTAAAAGTTTAAAAGTTAAAGTCGCCACATCCCGCAGCAACATGACCGATCTATATCAGCACTTGAGACAGCACAGAGAAAAGTAGGAAGAATGCATGCGAGAGAAAGCCGAGCCGTGTAACATTAAAGACAAATAGACAACTGAAAGCCGCCAGAGCCTCATAAAACAACATCCAAGCACAGTTACACAAACATCTGTAAGTGTCACGGGGAAATCATGGACTCCATAACAAACTAGGCTTGAGCAGATGTCGTCACAACTCCGCACCCTGCCCCTTTGGGCCCCCTTCTGCCATTTTGAAAGCATACCGCCAGAACCGGCTTGTTGTGATCAGAAGTTATTGTGTTCTTGATTCCCACTTGAAGATGGGGAGACACTGCTGTGTAAAAAGCTGCTCCAGTGTCAACAGACTTCTAAACTTCTAAACATCATATAAAGGACCCCTCACACCTTTCCCACTGCCTGGTTCCCCCCATGAAATCAGGGAAGAGATCCACAGTCAGACTCCTCAACTCCGAGCACATATGTCTAATGCACTTTATTACATTGACGCACTTTATCCTAGATTATTTGTTAAAGGCACTATGTGTAACAATTTCAGTTGTTGTTTGAGACAAACAAATTTTGCAGTCAAACGTGTGTCCTAGCACATGTGTATTTACCTCCATCAGCGTCTCTAAGTATGTCCGTAAGCTCCGAAATTCTCATTTACATACATAGCGACCGGTGTCTCATCATGTACGTGAGTCATCTTTAAAATACAGGTATGTACAGGGACATACTTGAGAAATAGGGAATCGCCTTTCGTGTTTTCACTTGTCGGTTTCCGGTTTCCGCCTGCAGGTAGAGTGACGAAATGCAGCAGCATGCAGGCTAGTCACAAATGCCGGTGCATTTAAAAAAATCAAAAAGGCAACGTGACCGGCAATTTCAGAAAGCGAGGGTCAACATCAGGGTAGCCTTTCCCAGGTGGAGAGAGCTGCTGAAGGAGAATCACAGCTAACAGTGGCTAACAGCTGTTAGCGACCAGCGCCGCTAACAGCTGTTAGCGACCAGCGCCGCTAACAGCTAACCTTACCTTTGCAAGCACGACTGTGTCTTCACAGTTTTGGGGCTGGTATATGGACAGGTCTTTCACTCAGCCGCAGCAGAACTGCTCATAGCTTTCCAGCGATGTGTAGCTCTTGAATTCTTGCATGGCGTAGTAACAAACTCCAAAAAGGAGGTAATTCACTTTGTCCATATATGTGGAAGTGGTTAACGGTGTGGGTCGCTGCTCCATTCCGCTGCAGGCAGCTCGTAGGGGTCGACGTTATTTATTTCTTTTAGTTTTTCTAAACTCCTTTGTCTGGTGCTGGCTGTTTTTCTTTATATGGAATCTTTTCTTTCACTTTATTTTTCTCCATTTTTCGTTATTTCCCTTATTTTCTTGAAATTTATCAATCCGAAAACCTATTTCCCACTGTCTCTGCGTTGCCCATGGCAACCCATAGCATTAGCTCTCAAAATGGTGGATGGGCCGAAATAGTCACATGACTCTTCAAGCCTAATAATAACAAATGAAAAATTGAGCAATTTTGCTCGCTCTTGGCCCACTTGACATGCTGCTGTGTTGTGCTATGGCGTGCTGGAATATGTCATTTACGTGACAACGCCTGAACGCAACACAGGCTTTGCTCCGCTGTGTGTACAGCGTGTTTGACTGTGCTCAGTCTGTTGATGGTCATGTGCACACTGTCCGTAACAATAACTATGTCAGGTCAGTGCCCCCCTGATATAATGTAGGGGAAACACTGGATCAAGCAAGAAGGCTAATGATACTATTTTTAAATTTAATTATATTGTAATCACAATCGCAACTCGTGATATTGTCCACTCAAATCACAATCGCACATTTTTATCAAATCGTGCAACACTACTAACAGGAATGGTGTTTTACTGAACTTTTCATGTTCAGTGTTGTCATTTGGCACTTAATTATTTGGCTACTTACCCTGTAGATGCTCGAGGGTCATTCTGTGTCAACTCAACCAGAGTTTGGCAGCTAAAACTTTAGATTTTGATAGTATATAATTTTAAAGAACTAAAGTCAGTCTCCTGGTGCTGTACTGTGGCTGTTTGTGGTTATGTGGTTCTTTAGCTGCCAAGGAGAGGTGCAATCGAATGCGAGAGGATGATAAATCACTCAACAGACCTCTGAACAATTTGTCCCCCTCACTTCTGAAATGATGGCTACGCCCCTGGGAGAAATGTCTGTCTGACATATGAGTTGTCTCAGTCTCTACACTACATGCACTTCGCAGCTGCTACACATGCACTTTCTACAATCATCATTTATTTATAACATCCAACAACACATCACCGTTAACAGTCTCCTCTCCTCTCCTCTCCTCTGTGCTCTTTGCAGACAGCATGTTAAAGCAGAATGAAACCATATGTCAGATTTGTTTAAACCAATTGTTACTGCCACGGTGTGGGAGATGAAAACAATATTTCAAGTTGAGTTTTGGTTTAAAAAGACATCCATTCAGTGTCTGTCTCTGCTCACACTGGGCAGTTGGTGAAAATGAATCTGGCAGAGTTGGAGGGAGATGATGTGATTATACACCAGACTAGCTTACTTGTTGTAAAGCTTAATGGTGGTTGACTGCCTGAGTTAGACTCACTGTAGTGAGATGTTTTAAAGGAATACTCCAACAATTTGGGAGTTATGCCCTTTCTCTATCATTTTCATATTGAGACAACATGATTGATATCTTTTTTGTGTCTGTACGTCCAGTGGCTGGGTCTCAGCGGTTAGCATTGTGGCTTAGCTTAGCGAATGCAATTTAAGTCTATAGGGAGTCAGTAGCTGGTATTTCTGCATGTGCATTTAAAATAAACATGTTTAAACATTAATTAAAAAAATGAGAGTCCTTTTTAGTCGTTTTAGAAGAAGTCTGATACACAGAACTATAGTGTGTTTACGCCCTGCGCGGAGGGATACACCGGTGAGCAACAGCTGCAGCTGGCTCTGGGACAGGTACACTAGGTCACTCGGTAAAAGCAAACAAAGAGATGACATGGATGGTCATGCCTCAAAAATGTATTATTGCAACTTGCAAAAACATTCAAGGTATAATCTGTTTCTACAACAAGCTGCACACAATTCAATTTTAGGTCACTTTTCTCATGCTAGATGAAAAGGCACTGTAAATGTGCATTATAAAGCGATATTACTCACTCGACTGAAAGCTGTCCATCAGCTCCTGCAGGCCTGGGGCGTTTTTNGCTAGATGAAAAGGCACTGTAAATGTGCATTATAAAGCGATATTACTCACTCGACTGAAAGCTGTCCATCAGCTCCTGCAGGCCTGGGGCGTTTTTTCCAGTTTATCATAGGAACATGAAAAAAAGTTTCAGTCACGCCAGGATTAGTGATTGCTGCAAAGTTTTCACTCCTTGTGATGCACTCTCTGCGGCGGTTTTCCTCCTGATGATATATCTCTCCAACGATGGTAGCACAGAATCCCATTCTGTGCAGCAAAATGATTCCACCTCCGTAGGCATAGGTTGGCAAGACCTGCAGCTACACCACCAATCCTCCCCTGACCTCCGTCTCCCCTCGGCCCCTTGCTGTTCCGCTGCCTCGGAGGATTCAGCCTCTCTTCTCGCCCGCTCAGCGTCCAACACATGGAGTTCCTCATCCTTATGCTCTGGCTCAAACAGGTATGGCTCTGGGTCTGTGTCCGCTACAAGAAACTCTTCAAAATCGCGTTCAAAGTCGTCCATTGCAGCTACTATAGTCAACTGAGTTTTGTTTACAGGCTACATCTGTGCCTGTGCCTGTGCCTGCTCACCGGTGTATCCCTCTGCGGATCACAGCGCAGGGTGTAAACACACTATAGTTCCGTGTATCAAACTTCTTCTAAAACAGACTAAAAAAGACTCTTGTTTTTCGAATTAATGTTTAAACATGTTTATTTTAAATGCACGTGTAGAAATGCCAGCTTCAGGGTTTCTGTAAGGTTTATTTGTTAACTTTTACCGAGGAGGCTACTGACCCCCTATAGACTTCAGTTGTATTCGCTAAGGCTAAGCTAAGCCGCAATGCTAACCGCTGAGACCCAGCCACTGGACGTACAGACACAAAAAAGATATCGATCATGTTGTCTCAATATGAAAATGATAGAGAAAGGGCATAACTCCCAAATTGTCGGACTATTCCTTTAATAGTGGTTTAGTTTCATAACTCTGGCAAACAATGACGAGGCTCAGGGTAAACACTATTGCTAGCTGGTTTTCCATAAAGGTGGGTCAGGACGAAGTGATGCTGCTCTGATATATCTGTGTGACAGTTTTCCTTTAGTCAGACAGTCTGATTTTAGCAGGAAGCCATGATGATGGCAGAGGACCTTTTGAACACTCTGGAAGATCTGAGGAATGATGAATTTGAGACCTTCAAATGGTACCTGCAGCAGCCTGACATCCTGGAAGGCTACCAAGCCATCAAAGTGTCCAAACTGGAGAAAGCAGAAAGGCGGGACACAGTGAATGTGATGGTGAGCAGCTATACACTGGATGGAGCTCTGAAGGTGACCAAGAAGGTCTTAGAGAAGATCAACAGGAATGATCTGGTGCAGAGTCTGTCAGACACCAGCTCAGAACCACGAGGTCAGTCACACCTTTTTATTTTGTATTTTCAGGCAAAAACAGTGAGTTGACATGAGCAACACAATACTTGTAGAGGAACAGGCTCTTTGTACAGACACTTATACCAATCAGCCAAAAAAAAAAAAAATTAGAACCACTGTCAGGTGAAGTGAGTAACATTGATCATCTTTTTACAATACAGTGCTCCCCTGCTAAACTTTTGGTCCATAAATTCATGAGGATGCTACTTGATGCGCTTCACCCACCCAAACACTGCTGCAGATCAAATTTCACTTCTTATGGCAGCAGCACTCCTTGATGGCAGTGGCCCCTCAGCAGGAAAATGCCCCATGCCACACCACAAAAACTGCTCAGGAATGGCCCGGAGGAACGTGAAAAAAAGCTTAAGGCATCGACCTGGCCTCCACATTTCCCAGATACTTGGCCTGCAATGGTGTTTGGTTGGGTGAGGCACCTCAAGTGGCAATGTAACAAGATGATCAATGTTATTCACTTCACCCACCAGTGGTTTTAATGTTTTGGCTGATAAGTGTATATTCATTCACCAAACAAAAACAACATCAACAACAACACATAACCTGTCTCACACAGTGTCAGTGGATGTCAGTGATGTTGGAGAGACTTCAGGGAACAGAGGAACTTCCTCCTCTCAGAGCGAAGGTAAAGCTGCTGTATTGTCTGAAGCCCTGAGAGACAGAGTGTAGTTTTAAAGTTTGAAAAATGACATGTAATTTTTACTTCTGTGTGAGACATCATGTCTCTATTATAACTAAATGAAAGAAAAGACATTAGTACTCACTGACACCAGACATGTGTCTGCATGCTCTGCTCTATTTTAGACCACAAGACACATGATGTTGTTCCTCTGAGAGAAGAATATGAAAAAAAGATGGCTGAGCTGGAGGCTGAAATTCAGCAGATGATCCAGGAGAGACAACTGAAGATTCAGGAGATCAAACAGTCAGTCAACCTAAGTGAGAAAGATGCAGACAGAGAGATAGCAAAAGATGTTCAGGTCTTCACTGCTCTGAAGGAGTCTGTTGAGAGAGGCCAGACAGATCTCATTAATGCAATCAAGGAGAAGCAGAAAATGACAAAAAGAAAGGCCGAAAGATTTATCAAAGAGCTGGAACACGAAATCTCTGAGCTGAAGAAGAGAAGGATTGAGGTGATGCAGCTCTCACGCTCCGAGGACCACCTCCATCTTCTCTGGACACTCCAGTCCCTGAAGACCCACTACTCATCAAGGACTGGACGGGGGTCAGCATCCGTGCATTGTGAGGGGACTGTGGCGAGAGTGGTGTCTCAGCTGGAGGAGACACTCAGTAAAGAGATGCCGAGGCTGCTTGAAGCAGAGCTGAAGAGGTTCCAGCAGTATGCAGTGGATGTGACTCTTGATCCTGATACAGCAAATCCCAAACTCATCCTATCTGATGATGGGAAACAAGTGAAACATGGTGATGTGCAGAAAAATCTCCCAGACAACCCAAAGAGATTTTCTACTGCTGTTTGTGTCTTGGCAAAGCAGAGTTTCTTTTCAGGCAGATTTTACTTTGAGGTTCAAGTCAAAAGAAAGACAAAATGGGCTTTGGGAGTGGCCAGAGAGTCGATCAACAGGAAGGCAGTGGTCCCACTGAGCCCTCAGGATGGTTGCTGGACTATATTTTTGAGAAATATAAATGAGTACAAAGCTCTTGATGCCTGTCCAGTCCATCTCTTTCTGAAGTCTCGTCCTCAGAAGGTGGGGGTGTTTGTGGATTATGAGGAGGGTCTGGTCTCCTTTTATGACGTAGATGCTGCAGCTCTTATCTACTCCTTTACTGGCTGCTCCTTCACTGAGAAACTCTTCCCATTCTTCTGTCCATGCACCAATGATGGTGGTATAAACTCTGCACCTCTGATCATCTCTCCTGTCAGAGTAAAATAATCACTTATTTCATGTACTGATTTATTTCTATTAATAATAATAGAAATAATAATCAGTCAATTTTATTTATAAAGCCCAGTATCACAAATCACAATTTGCCTCACAGGGCTTTACAGCATACAACATCCCTCTGTCCTTATGACCCTCACAGCTGATCAGGAAAAACTCCCTAAAAAAAACCCTTTAACAGGGAAAAAAACCAGTAGAAACCTCAGGAAGAGCAACTGAGGAGGGATCCCTCTTCCAGGACGGACAGACGTGCAATAGATGTCGTACAGAACAGATCAGCATAATAAATTAACAGTAATCCGTATGACACAATGAGAGAGAGAGAGAGAGAGAGAGAGAGATATGCAGGACAGACAGTAATAACAGTAGCTTACAACAACATTATTGAAAGTAATAATATTATAGTTATAGTTCTGGCTACTGTGGTACAATATGTTGAAAGCATATATTAATATCTGATAGTATACATGTGTGACAATAATCATATGTGTATAATAACAGTAGAAGTATGACTAATGATAACAGCAGCAGCACAACCACACATGTCACACTATCCAGGCACCGCTGCAGTACCACATCTAGGCCTCCTAATTTAAAGAATCTACTTGTCAGGTCATACCTGCATCAGCCCACACCATCCCTTTTTCTAACTGAGATACCTGACGGTAACTATAAATGTGGTAGATGTGCACAGTGTAGCATCACTTACAAATGCCACAAATTTAATCATCCAGTTTCTGGGAAACTTTTTCATATTAAAGGTATTATCAGCTGCACCACACCTAACATCGTCTATATGATTAAATGCATATGTGGGTTGGCTTATGTAGGTAAATCATCTAGACCTTTAAAAACCAGGATATCAGAACACAGGAGTGACATCCGGACAAAAGATTTTAAAAATCCTGTTGCTTTACATTTTTTTGAGGCAAAACACTGTATCTCATTGCTAAAATAAATTGGGATTGAACGTATACAGCTGCCACCCAGAGGTGGTGATATCAATGCGCTATTACTTCAGAGGGAAGCATTTTGGATTTCCACACTGGATACTGTGACCAGGGGCTTGAATGAAGCTTTTGATATTAGACCATTTCTTTAGTGTTTTCTTGTTTATGTCTCATCCTGCTTATATGTGCTGCATAACAGTTTTCCTATATCTCTTCTTAATATTATCCCCATTGGTGCTTGGCATTATATATTTATATGTATTATCTGTTTTTCTTGTTGTTTGTCCTTCTATATTTACATTGTAATGGACCTGTAAAATGAAAAATGTGTGGTCTTTTTTGGGGCTTTCAGTTCAGTTCCTACTTAAGGGATCCAATGTATTTAATTGATGTGTATACTGGTCATCTATTGTGATTATGTGACTTTTTAAAAAAAAAAATAAAAAAATAAAAATCTAAATAGTTCTCTAAATACTTTTCTTGGGAACATTTTTTTGAACATTTGTTTATCTGTTTTTATATGTTTATTGTTTTTCTATCAACCTGCTCAGTTCTAGTGTTGTTTTTGGCGGCCTTTTTTAATTTTAGTTTTAGTCTAGTCTTTGTGTCAAACTGTCATTTTAGTTTTTATTAGTTTTAGTCACGTTCTTACTCTTTTTTGTTTAGTCAAGTTTCAGTCAACTAAAAGTCTGAGCATTTTAGTCTTATTTTAGTCAGAATAATCCATGACTATTTTCGTCTCGTTTTAGTCGACTAAAACTGATGACATTTTAGTCTAGTTTTAGTCAATGAAAACTGTATTTTAGTCTCTTTTTAGTACTGCAGTTCTATTAGGGGTTACTGTAATATCTTGGATGTGTGTGCTCTACCCCACTTTGTGATCTAGAGAAACTATGTCATCAGATAAAGAGTCTCTGAGTTGTTTGGGGCCAAGAACAATAACTTCAGTTTTGTCTGAATTTAACATCAGGAAATTGGTGCTCATCCAGGTTTTTATGTCTTTAAGGCAATTATGGAGTTTAGTTAATTGATTACTTTCTTCTGGCTTCATAGATAAATACAACTGTGGCTGAAATTCAGCAGATGATCCAGAAGAGACAACTGAAAATTCAGTCGACCTCAGTAAGAAAGATGCAGACAGAGAGATAGCAGAAGGTGTTCAGGTCTTCACTGCTCTGAAGAAGTCACGATAAAAGAGAAGAAGAGAACGACACAGAAACAAGTTGAAGGCTTCATCAAAGAGCTGGAACAGGAAATCTCTGAGCTGAAGAAGAGAAGCACTGAGGTGGAGCAGCTCT